TAAAATAGGAAGGTAGCTGTATAATTCCCGGGCTGGCCTACAATGGCAAGACGCCTCAAGGAGAGCTAACATGGGATGGATTGAGGAATATCAAACTCTCTATATATGAGGTTTCTTACACATTCCAGGTAATTCGAGGTCACTAGACTAACAATAGAGGTTTTGCACCATCACGTGCCCACACCCATAATACTACTTGGGCTGCCTGTGGTTAGATGGCAGAAGAATAAAATCCCTTTGCTCTTGGGAATTGAATTCTTCTTTATGTAAAACGATTGTATTGTTCCTGCCATCTAACATGGCTGCCGTCACGTGGTGGTGCAAAACCTCTATATTAGACGCGCAGCCCGAATGGTCTACAAGTCATGATAGCGAGAAGACTAATCATTTTAACCTACTAATTGGCCAATAAATGTATACAAAGAAAAATTAAATTAGTTTGATTTATTTTTCWTAAGTTGTTTTGGTTTTCAAAACTGGCACTTTTTGCTACTGGTAGTCTATCATTCGTAGCTCAGCTAATCAGAGCGAAGGATTTGTGATATACCATTAATAGGTCATCATACTAACCCTGAGTAACTGAATCTGTAATCAAGAAACACAGCAGTAATTTGTAACTCAAAAATGGTCTTTTCATGATATACTTAACACCTCCCATTAAACCGTCAATCACAGACAGACCATGATCGATGGGCTCCCTGTGGTGTTTGGAGTTTATTCTATATATCACAAAAAGTCAGTTTGAGTATATTAATCTATCTTCTATCCTGATTTTTATTTGCAGCACATTGTTGAATGTTTTAATATTAACACTAATAAGTGGGTGTTCAGGTAAGTTTTCTGAATATTGATTATTGGAATGCTGTAACAAAAGGGCTCTTGCAGATCATCTGTTAAGGCGTCATTCTCTCACCAATGAAAGGCTTGTGACGTGCGGCCTGCGTTTGAGTTGAGTTTATTTGGGTGTTGTTCTCTCCTAACCAACGTGGGCTGTCTCCGAGTTTTCTCTTTGGTTTTCCTCCCTCCATAAAAAGAAACCCCACGTGAATTGAGGGTAGTGTGTATAGTATATTCGAATGTAGTAAGGAGCGTGTATGGATGATACACTGCCCCACAAGCTTCTAGCTTTGAAGCCTACTGTGTATAGGACATTCGAATGTAGTAAGGAGCGTGTATGGATGATACACTGCCCCACAAGCTTCTAGCTTTGAAGCCTACTGTGTATAAGGTATTCGAATGTAGTAAGGAGCGTGTATGGATGATACACGCCCCACAAGTTTCTAGCTTTGAAGGCTAAAATCTTTATYCAATGAAATCCATAGCTATCGTACTATGCACCGAGAGTTACTCCGCATTCCACTAGCTAATTAAAGCCAAATACCAAGGTAGCTTTCGCATAAATGGAGCGCGCACTTGCAACCAACTCCAGTTAGATATAAGACACTTTTCTAATCTTGGAGAGTTTAAGGCAAATGCAAAGCGCCATTTTAAACTATACGCATTGTCTTGTTTTGAACTATTATTATATTGTATCGTAATGTAACTTGTAATTCATGTAGTGTTTATTTACTTTGTAATTATATTTGTTTTATACAGGATTCTATTTAAACTAGTCTGTGCTAAATTAGATGTTATTATATTGTATCGTGATGTAACTTGTAATTCATGTAGTGTTTATTTATTTTGTAATTATAATTATTTTATACAGGATTTTATTTAAGCTAGCCTGTGCTTAATTAGATGTTCCTGTTAAAATATTGAATAAAAAATAAAGAGGGGATGGCCTAAATTCCAGCCTGATAATGTCAGGGCTGATACAGTAAAAACCCGCGTATAAGAACCTAGATTTTTTCAAGTTAGCCTAAACAGGTTCTTATATGAATTTTTTTATTCAATGAGGACATGTTCTTTACAGTAACCATGTACAGTTATAGTGTTTATAGCATTATCGTGTACAGACTGTGTTATAAATATATTTTTGAAAAGGATGATTCTATTTTTTATTTTTTTTAAAAATAGGAACCTGTTTTAGGATTTTAGCTTAAATGGTTCTTATGTTTAAAATGAAATTTTAGCCTAACAGGTTCTTAAATTTCAGGTTCTTATACGCGGGTTTTTACTGTATTAACAGCTATTTCTTGGTCTGTTTTCAGGTACGTGTTCAAGCGTCTTCGTTTCCTAGGCAACAAGGATCTGTCTCATTTCCTGACCCTAATGTTCCTGGCCGTTTGGCATGGCTTGTTCCTTGGATACTTCATTGCCTT